ACAGCACAAACAGAAAGCACCACCAGCATCCCCAGCTCAGGGGGCACAGCACAAACAGAAAGCACCACCAGCATCCCCAGCTCAGGGGGCACAGCTGGCACTGCTGGCTGGGCAGGAATGGCACAGGAGTGAGGGTGCTCCTGTGGCCAGGAGGTGAGGCTTGGCTGGACACAAACCAGCAGGGCAAATCCTGCTCTGACACCCTGACAGCCTGGAATGCTGGGAGGGGCCCTGGAACAGGAGCCTGGAGCTCCATTCCAACCCAAACCACCCTGGGACTCTAGGAAGATGAAGCTCTCCTTCCTGATGAGCATCCTCTTCCAAACATCCAAATTAAAGAAATCCTGACTGAGCCACTGCTGTCCTCTGCATCCCCCATTTTCCTCCCTGCTCCCCTCAAGGAGAAGCAAATCTAAAATGCACAAAGTTCATGAACTCTTTGGGTTATAAGGGTTACCAGTCACTAAAACAGGGTCAGCTCTGAGCTCAGAACTTGCTGGGATTTTACACAGGTGCTAATTAAGGAATTAATGAAGTTTAGACAAGACTGATGTACCCCACCTGCAGGGCGGAAGCTTCACTCACAAACAAAAATTACATTTTGGGGCATTTTAATGCTTTGACAAGATCTGGGTGAACTCAGTTTTGTAACTGAACCAAACCCAGGAATTTGGGGAGCACTGAGTACTGAAAAATGCCCCTCTGGAGGAGACAGTAAATCCCTGGAGCAGCAGTGCTGGAGCCTGGGCACAGCCCTGCTGACACACTTGGCTCAGGCTCAGCCTAAAGGGAAGGACCACTCCTAAAGCCTCTTTCATATTTTTAATTTCATAACCTACATTGGGATTCCTGTTACAACCATTCCCAACCCTTTCTGCCCAGCGTATTTTTCATCTCAATTCATTGTTCCTAAAGCCCTTGAGGAAGTGCTTTATTAATGAGCTCTGAGTGGGGCTATCAGCCACATCTCTCCAAAGCCAGCACGAGGAGCTCCTCATCCATCTCCCTGCAGGAGCGCAGGATGCTGACCCACATAGCAGTAACTCAGTGAATATTAAAGGCAAAACTCCTCCTTCAAGGGATTTAAAAATCTCTTTTAATTCACCCTCATTTTCAGTTTTCCCTACACACATGATCTGCTTCCAGGGAATTAACAGAGAAGCAGCCCCATGGCCAGGGAAGGGGAACAAGGAGGTGACAATGACAACCGAGGACAGTGGCACGGACTCGTCACACACAAACATGCCAGGAACCAAACCAAGGGAACAGCAGGCACAAGAGGGACAGCTCAGGAACACCAAACATCAAGAAGAAAGTTAAAATTGAAACTTACAATTACCTGCTGGTCTGGGGGGATGAACTCCAGGGCCTTCTGGATGACCCTGCAGCCGTACATCTGCAGGGCCAGGGACAGCACGTGCCCACGGATGCGCTCTGCCAGCGCCAGCTTCTGCTCCAGGCTGCCAAACTGGGACAGGAGAAACAGTCACTGCCAGGACAAACCCCTGCCCTGGCACTGGCACTGCCCTCCCACCCTGGAGTGGCAGGAGCTGCCCACTGAGAAGGTCAAAGATCAATCCCATGGGAAAGGGGTGAACTGGCACAGCCAGACGGGTTCTGTGCCTGCCTGCACACCCCAGATGGGATGGGGCCACCAGGGTCATCAACCAACAATGGACAGGTCACCATGGGAAAGGGGTGAACTGGCACAGTCAGACGGGTTCTGTGCCTGCCTGCACACAAAGGGGCTGGAGCCACCAGGGTGACAAACCAACAACGGACAGGTCACAGCCCCAGGGCTGCTGAGCTCCAGAAGTGCTGGGACAATGGCTCAGGTGTGCCCAGGGTGGGAATGTTGGGGTGTGTGGGCAGGGCCAGGAGCTGGATTTGAGCCTTGTGGGTCCTTTCCAGCTCAGGAGGTTCTGTGATTCTGATTCTCAATTACTGGGCAGAAGCACCAGAACACCTGGAGAAGGACCAGACCAGTGTCCAGAGAGAGGGGTGGAGGGACACAACACCTTTCCAGCAGCTGCTGTTACTGCAGAAGTTTCTCCCTTGGTGCCAAGTCCAGCTCAGAGCAGCACCCTGGACAAGCTGTGCTGGATCTGCACTCACAGAATGCCAGGGGGGTTTGGGCTGGAAGGGACCTTATGGCTCAGCCCATTCCAACCCCCATCCACCTTCCACTGGAAATTTACATCTCCTGAACGCTGCTCTTTATTGTGACACACTGTGCTTCTCCAAGTGTCACTTTTCAGATTAATCTGAGTCCCACCCTCAGTCACCCCCGCAGTGAAGATCCAACAGCTTGTGGGGAGGAGATGGTGCCAGTGCTGAAGGGGTTTGGGCTCAAGGCAGGGTTTGCCAGGCTCACCCAACACCTCAGCACAGCAGGAGGAGCTGCAGGGGAGGGCACACTCACCTCGAAGAACTTCTGAATGACGTAATTCCCAAACACATCCACCATGAGCTGATAGGCTGCCTGCAGGATCTCATTGAACACCAGCTGACGCTCTGCTGGGGTGGCACGCTCCAGTTTCAGCTGAATAAATCTGAAAAGGAGGTCTTGGAGTGATGCCACGGGCACATCTGCTCATTCAACCCCTTCCCAAAGCCTCACCCGTGTGTTCCAGAAACGACCATGAAAAATCCCATTACACCATGAAGATTAAGCACTTTCATTAACCTAAGCTTCCTATCACAAGTTAAATATTCAAATTTAAGACATTTTACTCATCCACAACTTGCAAAGCTCTTGCAAACACAGATATTTGATCCAGCCATCTGAAAGCTCGGGGTGGTCACAGCCATGAGGTCCATGGCCACATGCTGGAATCTTCATTCCAAGCAAAGCAGAGCTCCATGGAGTAATGGAGGATGGCCTCGTGTCCAGCTGGGTCTTAAAATGGATCTAGCTGGGCCAGCAGGGTGAGTGAGCAAACCACAAAGCAGGGAAGCTCCTTTTCACAGAATCACTGGGTTGGAAGAGACCTTCAAGCTCATTGAGTCCAACCCAGCCCCAACCCCTCAACTCAACCCTGGCACCCAGTGCCACACCCAGGCTTTGTTAAACACACCCAGGGATGGTGACTACACCACCTCCCCGGGCAGAACATTCCAGAACTTTATCACTCTTTCTTTGAAAAACTTTTTCCTAATACCCAACCTGTATTTCCCTTGGCACAGCTCGAGGCTGTGTGCTCTGGCTCTGTCAGTGCCTGGAGACAGAGCCCAGCCCCAGCTGAGCACAGGCATCTTTCAGGAGCTGTACAGTGATGAGGGCACCCCTGAGTCTCCTTTGCTCCAGGCTAAATTTGAGGAGGAATTCCTGTGATCAGAACCTGTCCCCAGTCCTGGACAACACCCCCAGGCACGCACAGGGTGGGATTGTTGGGGTGTCTGGGCAGGGCCAGGAACTGGACAGGATTTTGAGGTGGGATTGCTATGAAGAATTTCAAGGTGGGATTTCTAGGCAAGATTTCCTCACTGGAAGGGTGTTCAGGCATTGGAACCACCCAGGGAGGTTTGGAGTCGCCATCCCTGGAGATGCCAACGTCCCTGGACTGGACAATCCTTGGGGATTCTGAGTGTGACACTGGCTTGGCTGTTCCTGCTTATTCCCTGGTGTGCCTCAGCTTGGGGAAGTGACACAAAACACAACTGTGAACTCAACTGTGAAACTCAACTGTGAAACTCAACCAACAAAACACAACTGCAAAACAACAACCGAGAAACAGAACCAACAAAGCAACAACTGCAAAACTCAACCAGCAAAATGGAACCAACAAAACACAACTGGCAAAATGGGACCAACAAAATAACAACCGTGAAATGGAACCAGCAAAACAGCAAGCACAAAACACAACCAACAAAACACAACTGCAAAACGGAACCAACAAAACACAACTGCGAAACTCAACTGTGAAACGCAACCAAGAAAACACAACCGCAAAACAACAACCGTGAAATGGAACCAACAAAGCAACAGCCACAAAACACAACCACAAAATGGAACCAACAAAACACAAC